GACATGCTCAATATTAGGTGACTAAGCTATTTTAAATAATAATAGTTATCGATACAAAACTGTTTATTTGTAAACTGCGAGGCCAATAGAAATTAAAATAAAACGGCACATAATTAACAAGGATTGATCAACATTTGGCGTGATAGCAGCTAAAACGTGACTAGTAGAAAATAGCTTTTACTATGCTTATAGTTAATGTGATAATTCTTAACTATGAGATAAATTAACTACCATCTGTGATGAATAATCATCGTCGGCTAATCTACAGAAATGGCGCAAAGAATTACTACAATATAATAGATATAGTTTTGTTGGCCTAATTGTATTATTAGCAATCGCAAACACCTTTAGAAGTTCGCTGTCATTTCATTGTCTGATTGCCACACAGAAAATATTTATACGCGTATATCCTAAAGGATTCACTTTTATTGAAAGACGTTAAATTAAATCTCATATTTCCGGTTAAGTAGAATTGATTTCCAACATGCTCATGACATATTTATCACTCATATTTCAAAATTTAAAAGTCAGAAGTAATAAACTGTGATAGCATTGCTATCTTACAGCCATCGTTAATTGCCAAATAATACCTATAGACAGTAGTAATACAAAATGAATACAAAAATAGAAATAATTTGTAGGGGCAATTAGAGAGGTAATGACTAGTGATAAAAATAGATTAATGTAATTAAACATAGGTGACGTCCTACACGCGGTCATGAAATAATATTGAACACTATTTTTACCAAATAGCGGCGGTAGAAATTTTCTGTTGGGTTTTTTACACCTACAGCTGCGTAGAAACTGTATTATAATTAATCAACATTCAGGGAATGGATTGCATATGTCAAAAAACCTTGTTCCATCGTATACTATCAAGCTTCATACGTAATTATTTGAAATATACTAACAGATTTCGCGCCAATATTAATGTTTGTTTGAGATAGTTTATTCCTTTCTTATCCATATGTTAATAAAATATCGATTATGTACGTTAAATAATTTAACATAAGTCTATTTTTTAGGAGATTGGTTATATTCCAAATTTTAAATATTAAACTGAGAATATATACGTATGTCGCAAATTAATCTCTGTAAAAAAGGAACGCAAAAAAAATTGATAAGTAACCTACTCGCTTAAACGCTATTTTACTTTGTGTAAATATACATATACTGTATGACTATAAGCAGCAGGATAGAACTGCAACGAGGACACTGTAGTATTTAAATTGTTCCTATTTGCACTATGTAAGAGCCATCTTGCTTTTAAACAACTTCAGCCTATTTGCAGCCATTTATTAGGCCTCATTTCTTCAACTACAATATTCCTAACATGGCTAATCAATTCATGACTATTTCTAATTAAGTTCTCATACATAGCCTTAGTTTACGCAAAATTGTTGTCTAATTCAGTTACCCTAGAGTAGCACTTAATAATCATTTTTCTTTCTGCGCATAAAAACAGTCAATACCAAATATACATCAGCCAACTTTAAATAGTAATTACGATAAGGTATTAACAATCATACCAGCATTATAATTATGGATTTTATCATATTAACTAGGGCTACGAAGTTATTGGAAGGTTAAGTATTACCGTAATAGTACAGCAACCAGTTCTGTGATGAACAGTATCCGTATTTGGTTGTAATAAGGTATATGGCGTCTACATGATCGTTTAGACCTTATCTTGATCTCTTATTGACGAGAAAAAAGTAGTTATTATGCTATTAACTCAGTTTGTTTTTTTGCTTTCGCAACTTTAGATATGCAATCTCTACTAGTATTTATATGAATAACTTCTGTATAACTTGAAATGGAGCATGTAACAATAAAATTTTAGTACTGCGTATCTTAGTGAATAGTAAGACCATACTCATTAGATTGATCAATTTTAAAACTATTTCCGTATGCATTTAGAATGCGTAATTCACCTTTCATGAAATAATATCCAAATATTCAATTCAGATTTCAAAGGTACTCAAAACCTTGTTCTGCGGAGTTTACTATCTACTACTAAATAGAAACAGCTGATGTTGACATTCTTAACGATTTCGATAAGTAAATACAGAGCAATGGCACTGATACAGTAACTAATGTTATTCTACGGCCAATCTATTATTGTGTTAATGTGTATCAACAAATTGATTTCATTAGTTCGTCCTTATTTTACTTTTTCACCAAAATTTCAACGGTTATTTTATTCAACTTTCTTAAGCAATCAAAAGACCATCGCACAATTACTGCAACGTACTTGCATATAGTAATACAAAATTAATAGATAACTGGTCTTTAAGATACGATATGACCAACCAAATGTAATATTGCGATGGAAGAGATTATATCGTACCTCTGCAGGCTACTCATACTATTTTTGTGAGGGAGTGAATGCAAACTGCTGTCATGACATCATCAAGCAGTAAATACGCGTAAATTAATTAAGTTAGCCCAATTTACTTCTATTGCAATAAGACAATAGTAGAAATAGTATAGTGTTTGATTAAATCATTAGTACTAAAAGTAAGAATAACTTTTGCCTATCTACCATTTGAATTCAGTAGCTCATAAATAGTTAGCCATCAGCAACTTCAACTAAGTAGTTTAGATATTTTTATGGAAATAGAATAATCATTAAAATAAAATTGCTGAATACGATAATTTTACCAGTGGAGTACTCTTATAAATATACAATTTCAATGAAAGATATAACTCAGAGATAAACAAGCAGATAGCTAAATTTTAATTACTGTAATTGTTATATCATCTCGTTTAAATATAGATTTGAAAATTGGATATGCTTCGATTTGGGAAAGCAACTGGAAGATCCCATTGATAGATAGGGTAAATGGCTGCGTTTGTCTTACATAGTATTGAGCAACGTAGCAAAGTTTAGATATCCAGGAAGGTGGAATATATTCGATCAAGTTTTGTATGTCATATGCCATCATTATTTGCATCAACGATAGCTGGTTAGGCTTCGTCTTGACCATCTAAAATGATAGCGCTGATATTTATAATGAATTAATTAATAAGCCAGTTCTTATTTTCTGAGTTGTGAACTACTGTATATAATAACCCCGCCATCACTGTTCATCGAGCAAACTACATCTACAGCACTGTAGGACTCTTGAAAGGTACCATGACAACATACAGTGTAGTGCATATTTTTATTATACAATGTACTGTACCATGGGGCTACGTTGCTGTGTAATACTATACAGTAGAAGAAAACCCAGTTAACATAGGTGCAACTAGTAATGTATTCGCTATGCGAAATATACTATCATGGCCTTGACCTTTTCATCTTCTACTACTCATAGAAAGACTTCATCAAGATGAAATTGGACGACAATTTTCACGTATTACGATACTTCTGACACTCAATGCAGCACACTGGTAGTGGTTAGCGACATGAAAGAGAGCAGAGACTGCTATAAAAACTCTCAATGCGTGCATATGCGGATTTAGAATTTTGTACCTTAATATTCATCTGATTTTCTCGTAATGTAGCGATCTATTACACCCATGTCAGTAGATATGTATATTTCAATTCAATTAAAGATATATGAAATGTAGAAATAGATAGTAATTAATTATAATAACATTAAATATTAATAGCTGTAGAAAGTCGCATAGCAGCAGCTTATATCGTAAGTAATGTTGACAAGAACAGAGTATATTCATTATTCAATTAATGTAATCTCTATCCAAAAAATTTTTAAGATATTTGCATGAATTTGATATAATAGAATATTTTATAAAATTATTACTGATAACCACTGCATGTTCTATAAAATCGAATGACTAGATAATTTAGAACCCCTGCACGCTCAGTGTACGGTGTACATGCTTCTCTCTTTGTATACGAAAGTAGATTTATTTACTAGCTAGAGGTCTTTTGTATCACATACAATATTATCATGTCTTACATTCTCTCATTAATCAATTTATTAATAAATGAAAAATGGAGTATGCAAGAATCATCATCTATGATCTAAGAGATAGTAAATCAATTCAATCGATACTCATTCCATGGATAATAATAATATAATATGCCAAACAGCAGCACTGTAGAGTAATAAATTCGAGCGAGACAAGATAGAATACTGCCATACATCTTGCAAATGTTCTACAGTAGCAAAATTTTTCGACGTTCAATGAAGAGATATTTACTCTTAGGCGCATGCATTACCGACCGTAGAAGGAATTAATGATTGCTGATCACACATTTGTATTTATGTTTCTACAGTAACCCGCATCTCGGTAAATATAAATTTTGAGACTTCATAATACTATATTAATAATCGAGAAAAAGCACAGTCATTTTAATGATCAGACATCGAAAACTGAGACGACAAATAGCTATAAAAATTTTATATATAATACAGCATATACTATCATTAGTAATCTCTGTTGAGCAAATTTTCCTATCCAACAGCATTATAGTAACCTGATCAGAATTAAAATAGATCATTGATAGATATCTATAGTTGTCAATACGTGATCGCTCACAATAACGTATTTCTAAATTATCCACTGTAAAACATTATACTGATATGACATTTAATGCATTAACAATAGTAGAATGTTACTATCATAAAACTACTCTCGCATGTAACCAATATCCAATGTAATACATGTATATTACCAAATCAAACCTTTCTGTAAAGTAATAGTAACATATACGTGCATTTTCAATCTGCAATGAAATTGTAAAATTTGTGAGTATAGATTAAATTACTCCCTATAAAGACATACTTCGGCGCAAGATATCATATGTCTGTATACCGAATAAAGTAGTAAAGAGATATTAAAGACGAATTATAATCGAACAACCTAATAAAATTCTAAACTACGTTCAATAAGGTAAAAGAAAATTTAGCTAGAAAATAAAACTGTTATCCAGTTACAGCATCGAAACAGTCCTTTTAAAATTGTGGTAACACTCTAATTACATCACACATTCAGTACACATTATTTACAAATAGTTCAATTTCAAACTATTTCTTGTTATCACCGATCGATGTTTGATAATCAGTCCAATTCATTATCTCCACATTCGAACTTCTTTCTTGCTCCAGCATATTATTAAAACGTCCATCATAAGCTCCAAATATACCGCCTATAATATATTATAATCCAAGAAATTTTTTAAATTTGGCACTATCAATTCACTTCAAAATAAGTATAATATAATGACGATACCGCACGAGTGATTTAAAATCGTTTATGATGAATTGTAATAGCTATACAAAACGCAAATCTATAGGAGTTAAACAATTTTATAGCATCACTGCTTACAATTTAAGGAAGTAACAGAATTTAAATTACCCGATGAAACACCATCAAGAAGTTAATTGGCCTCATTTAATGTGAAATTAAAACAGTAATACTACAGTACATTAAATTTTATATCTGCGTCATTCAAAACTTTTTTAAAAATCAACTAGATAGGAGGATATGGGAAATTAAGTAGTACCTGTATGGATATACAAGATTCGACGTCCTTGGAAGCGTTCAGGATTATGTTCCAATTCATGTAACATTCCCTTTACAGCTTTAGTATTATAGACCGGGTCTAGTATAATCCCAGTTGATTTAGAAACATCATAAGCAAATTTCATTTCATCTTCTGTTGATAATCCATACCCTAAACCAGCGTATCCATCAATGATATCAACAATATCACGCGCTTTCACTTGATCGCTTAGTTTTAACTGTTGTAGTGTTTCATCAATGTGTTGATAGAAATAATTAGCGTCACTACATATGCATAAGGCATGCATTTTAACTTTACTTCCAGTTAAATAATTGCTTAATGCAAGCCCACATGTTGAGCCGCCACTACCGCATGTAACGACAATATCATCGAAATTTTCATATAAACCTTGCTCAACTAGTTCTCGGAAACATTCAATATAGCCAAATAAGCCAATAACGTTTGAACCACCGATAGGTATTAAATAGCATTCATCGCCAGTTGTACTCTTTAAATAGGTAGATAGTTGTTGCATTTTAGGCAAGATATCAGGAAAAAATTGAGCTTTACGTTCAATTAAGAATACTTTCGATGCTACCATACTGTTGAGGAAAACATTACCAGTACATCCTACAAGTTGTAAATTGGATCGCATCTCTTCATCGCATCGTAAGAACAAATAGCTTGATAAACCCAGTTGGCGTGCAGCAACAGCTGTAGTTCGACAATGATTGGATTGGATGCCACCTGCAGTTAGAATTGATGTACACTTCTTCTGTAATGCATCAGCTAATAGAAATTCTAATTTACGAACTTTATTGCCTGATAGTACAGAACCAGTCATATCATCTCGCTTAATATAGATTTGAAAATTGGATATGCTTCGATTTGGGAAAGCAGCTGGAAGATCCCATTGATAAATTGGTGTCAAACGCTGTGCTAGCTTCAAGTAATACTGAGGAATGTAGCAAAGTGTAGATGCCCACGAAGGTGGAGTATATCTGATCAAATTTTGTGAGTTATATGCCATTATTATTTGCTATTTACCAACCGAGATTGACTACAGCAAGCATAAAGAATGTCAAGTACAGTGTAGAAAGTGTTGGCAAATCAATCGCCCAAGTCTTGCCGTAATGTCTGGTAAACAAAAATTGCAAGTGTGAAAGCACCGCACAGAGCACTGTTGCTACCGATGTCAACGTATCTGCCCTATATTATGGACTACCCAATGGCATTTTGCCACAGTAATACTATTACTGTAGTAATACTGTACAGGACGGAAAGTCGTATACTATACAGTGGTGTGTATCGGATGAGGTCCGTTCCATTTTCTCTATAGTAAAAGCTGTTCAAATTAAAATTTCTTACAAATTTTGTTGATCAAGATTTTCTTACATTTGTGCATGTAGATGGTTAAAGTCAATTTAGTTTTAGTACAGTGAAGAAGTTGAGGTCTTGAGGATTGTACTTAGCTAACTTAGTTCTAGTCTTATTTAACTTTAATCGTTTTAATGGAGGGTTTCCCATTGTAAGAAATTTCAATTTGAACAGCTTTTACTATAGAGAAAATGGAAGGGATCGAATTCCATGCACATCACGATACAGTAGTTGAGGTCTCGAGGGTTGTATTTAGCTAACTTAGTTTTAGTCTTATTTAACTTTAATGGTTGTTATGGAGGGTTTCCCATTGTAAGAAACTTCAATTTGAACAGCTTTTACTATCGAGAAAATTGGAAGGGAACGAATTCCATCCACACCACGATACAGTAGTGTACAGTGCTGTACCAATGCACGTTATATGCTCTAAAGTACCGTACATATTCATCAATTCTATAGTAAAAATCTTGAAAATTCTTTCTGCAATCATATCAGGTAAAGGTTATCAAGTCTAATATAACGTAGACTAAATTATAATTACTACTACTCTTTCATAAAAGGGTCCTAATGGTATCTGGTTTATTAGTGATTGTACAGTACTTCATCAGATTATAAATTATATTATAAGCCAAATTGAAATTCGAATACGACAGGATAAAGTAAATGGAATATTTCAACTTTTGCAAATACCTGTTGTTCTAATAATAGGTCATGCTCAAGATGAGGAATTTATTATTTATTGATAGTTTGTTCTTTTCAGAGAGCATTTAAAGCTGAAATTATAGCTGCAAAGCTAAAGATTTTTATATAGCGAAATACTAGCAAAGTATTCTCTACTTCTCCACAAGTTATCAATCTGCTACTGTCACAAGAAATGTTAGCTTCAGTAATTTACTGCATACCATACCTCATCATTCAAAAATTAGAAAAAAGAGTGAAGTATAAAGGAGAATAAATAAATTAAGTCTTATTAATATCAACCTTTTAATGGCAATAAAAATTAATTTATTGCTTCTTCATGCATAGTATAATTTACTAGGCAATAGCAGTAGAGTATGAGAAGAGTTATATCCATCCAAATTTATAGTAATACACTCATTAATAATTAAGTTACCTTTGCATTTTATAAATATCATTTCATGAAATTGGAAATTCTGAACTACACACATATTAGTGTCATACGTGTACGTACATTATGGATTAAAATGACTCGTTAAAAATCGCCATTAAACCACTGTGCAGGTTTGTTGCTATAAGGATAATAGTAACTATTTTAATTGCATCATACATTGATGACTGTATTTAAGATTCTTTATAAATAATCCAGTTGTAGATTATTTCTTTTCACCATTCATTAAAGTCTGATAAGCGGCCCAAGTCATAACATCTTCATTTATACATCTTTCTTGCTCAAGTAAATTATTAAAGCATCCATCGTATGTCCCAAAGATTCCACCTGGGGAAAGAAAGTTAAATAGCAATATAAATTAAATTAGGGATCAATTGCTAAAATCGTTATATTATACCGAAGGTTAATTTTAAATTTAGCTAGATAATATTATCAAGCTATCAACCGTCATTATGGAATATGAAGTTGAAATAGCGATATTACTTCAAAAAATCAATAGTAAAACGTAAACTTAAACGATACTTGCTTGTATATGCAGTACATATAAAATGTGACGCCCTTGAAACCGCTTACACCAACTATATCATCGAAATTTTGAAATAAACCTAGCTCAATCAATTCTCGAAAGCGCTCAATATAACTAGTAGGCCAGCCACATTTGAACCACCAAGGGGTATATGATAGCATTCATCGCCTGTAGAGCTTTTTAGATGGGTAGCTAGTCGATGCATTCTAGGTGAGATATCGGGGACAAATTGAGCTTGAGGTTGAAGCAAAACTATTTTCGATCCTACCATACTGTCGAGGAAAATATTACCTGTACATGCAAGAAGTTGCACGTCGGGTTGTGTACCTTCATCACAACGTAAGAATAAATAGCTTGATAAACCAAGATGACGCGCAGCAACAGCAGTAGCTCTACAGTGATTAGATTGAATAACACCAGCTGTGAAGACTGTCGTGCATTTCTTATGTACTGTATAGCATCAGCAAATCAAAATTCTAATGAACGAACTTTATTGCCTGATAATGTAGAGCCAGTCATATCATCTTGTTTAATACAGATGTTAAAATTCGATATGCGTTTATTCGAAACGCAGATCGAAGATCCCTTTGCTAAATCGGGGTAAACCGCTGCGCTAATTTCACATAATACAGGGGAATATAGCAGAGTTTAGATGCCCAGAAAGGTGATTCATATTCGATCAACTTTTTTGCATTATATGCCATCCTGGATTGTTGTATATATATATATATAGGTTACGGCTAATAATACCTATACACGTATTCTCGTAAATATTCTCGTACAGATTTAGCTGCAAAAGAGCTGGACAATGATTTGCACTTTTGAGGTACTTTAATTAATACGTAGTACTGTAGGACTCTGTCCATGGAGATGTTCCTAAAGTCATCGATCATAAAGTTACTGCACACGCATAACTCTACACCGTATTTTCCTCTTTTAAAACTATCGATTGATTGATTTTATACGCATATGTTACGAAATAAGATTTTGGTCGATGATTTTAATACGGTTTCCTAATTGGACCGCTATTGATTCATATAATTTTACATGTTCAACAATCTAAATTCACGGTATGTAAGTCTATAGAATAAACCATTGGTTCTGTTCAGTTATATAACGTTGTGGTAAAACAATAAGGTTTAGTTCAATACTCTAGCTCTACTGGACTGACAAGGAAGATTTTACGAAATCTTCCTTGTTACTGAGTAGAAGAGGATATTGGAAAACGTAACAGCGTAGTATCTAGAATTATTTTCCAAAACAATCAATCGCTCGATCGACTTCAATATCGAAGTGAAACTGTCTATCGGTCCAGCAGTCCATAACACAGCAGATAGACCGCTGGATGGATCTACGGTCATCCAAGCATGCAAAGTCAGACTCAGACCACGGCTGGACGGCCTGCACTCTCTAACCGATGTGACGTGCGCGTACACGCTGTACAGCATGTACATTTGTATAGTACAGTACTGCAGTACAGGTGTATGACCATTCTCTACCCCACTAGGGGGTAGAGAAGCGAGTAGGCAAAAAAAATGGTCGAGTTCATGTGCTGCACTAACCGTACAGTACTGTACTGTAGCTTACAGTATTCTGTACTGTAACTTACTAGGCGCTGACTGATACCTACAGTATTTTGTACGGTGCTACCAGAGTTGAGAAACAATCTCATCCCTGTCAATAACAAAATTCGCTTGTCCTTCGAGTGTGTATTTTCTCCGATTGCAAAATTTGGATCCACAATTTGTTTTGGTTGTAATATATTATTGACAGATTTGAAAGAAAAAAGGATGATTTCGATAGGTCGAAGAGCTTTGAACCGTGCACCCTTACGAAATGCAGTATTGGCTACTTTGTACGCCAGAAATTATCACGACAAGGTAAAATACGGACTGTAAAAAATAACGCTGATGAACATGGTTGAACCAGAAGTGATTACTGTAGAGTGTAGAATTAATTATTGATTTCATAGGTTACTGAATTAATTGAACTAAATTTTCTATATCATTTATTCTCATTAATATCACGCAAACAACCTCGTATGGTGACTTTAGAATCTATGACCTCTTAGTGTAGGATAGTACTTTATCAAGATGACGATAAATAGGCGAACATTTTGAATGATTGAAAATGCATCATCATAATAATAATTATAATTACTATAGTGATGAACGTAAGTACTGTATAATACAGCACACTATACGGTATGACTGTGGTTGCGTATACGCAACCGTGGTGAACAAATTTACAAATCTTCAACCTCCTAAAATGGCCGCTCTCCTTGGCCATAATTTTCCAAAGAATAAAGCTGTAAACATATACATTCTTATATACTTTAGGTTTATCAAATTGCCTTAAACTCGATACTATAATCTTGACAATAAAAAGGCAAAGTAAACTACCTATTTAGAATTGCTCTACTCTTATCTTGATAAGTAGACTGTCATCAAAGCGCGTAACGCTGTTTTATAGCTCTACGTCTAGCAAACAACTATAAAGATACTGTACTGTATAGTAGTGATAAAAAGTGCTTATGCTTCTTCATCAGTTGTTGTCCTATTTTTTACCGTATATTTATACTGTGTATTTTAACTACGTCTATCAGTAGTATTTGAAGCTACAGCTGTAATATTCGAATTCAAAAGTGTAATAGCCCTAACCTTTACAACCAAATCACACGGTAATGTACAATTAATTTATGTACTCCTTACGGCTTACGTATTATGTTATCCGGTACACCCACTGACCCACGGCAGGGGAGTCGTGTAGGTACATTTATGCCCACTTTTTTGAAACCTCTTTTCAGTTGTCGTAATGGTAAGATTCGATAGTCATTGAAAATCCCATATACTGTACTGTACATTTTAGAAACTGTCTTGTTAATCAAATTAAACTATATTTACTAGGCAACTGCTCTACTGTTGCCGACCAATCTGATGTACAAATCGCGCAATGACAATTTTAGTGTCCCTTTTTCAAGGACCCTAATGAATATGCAGTATGATCTATTACAGCCAATCTACAAATCTTTCATGAATATGGACATTAGCAATTGAAACCTGAATAAGATAGAAGACGCTTAATTTGTTGCTCATAATAATATAAACAATGTAAATATTCCATTTGGTCAGAATCGTCAATCGCGCTACACTTTGATAACATCCACATGCACATCTATAGCACTGCATGTATAATTATGCAATGAACAGTATTCGAGTATCGAATAGTGAGACAAGTACTAGTTGAAGTTACAATTAATGACTGAAATGTCGGTAACGATCCGATTTAAAACTTTATATGACCGTTCGATTTATTGTCTTCACCGTCAGGTTATTGACCACTATGAGAATCCAAGAAACGTTGGTTCGCTCAATAAGAGCGATGAGAATGTTGGGACTGGCTTGGTTGGAGCCCCTGCCTGTGGCGATGTTATGAAGTTACAGGTATACTTTATTTTATTCATTCCGTACATTCTTTGCATATTATCTTTAGAATAAATAGAGCTCAAACTAAGTGGAAGAAGTGATTACTATATGAAAAGTGAACTAGCGCTTCAGTTTTACTGTATATTTTAAGATATCACTACTTGCTCGCGAGACAGAAATGCTGTGAAATGTTCTTTATTACAATTCGTCATGTATGACTGATTGAATACTCTCCAAGCGATCAGCAGTACATTACAGCACAGCATTGTAATAGCCACCATTTTGTAATACATTATGCGATTGGTAAACAATCACGATCAATAATACTCACAGATTAAAGTGGACGATAATGGCAAAATTGTGGATGCAAGATTCAAAACCTTTGGTTGCGGATCAGCCATCGCCTCTAGTTCTCTAGCGACTGAATGGATCAAAGGAAAATCGGTACTCGTACATTGATATTGTATTTACATGCAATGTTAAACATACAGTATTCCACTTGCAAGAATTTTTTAATGTCTGCTATTTGTCGGGTTACGATATTGCTGCGCTAGTATTTCAGCACGTAATATAGTAGGCTAACTTGTAAGTGTGTAATCCATATTCACTACATCTCAATACAGTCTATTATGATCTCTTATTCATTGTTTACGATCCTAGTTGAATAAGCAAGAGATAGATAGATTTGCATTTATAATATTCAGATTGCAATTTCAGTCAATCCCGTTATTATCTTCTCATAATTTTAGATTGATGACGCAAAGAAGATTAGAAATTCTGATATTGCAAAAGAACTATCTTTACCACCAGTGAAGTTACACTGTTCAAGTAAGTTCATCCATGTCAAGATGAATTAAGAAGGCCATCGATAAGCATAGCTTTCTGTGTTATGAAATCAGTGTAATCGATACAGTTACAAATGATTTTGTGTATTAAAATTACATGCTATTACAAAGTCTTTCATTAGACAGTCATTGACAGCAATTTATCTTTTGATCGTAATGTTGATTACTTTCAGGTATTATCGATAACATTATGTTATAGATTTTGAATATATATTATTCATTAATCTTTTTTAGTGCTTGCGGAAGATGCTATCAGAGCTGCGATTAAAGATTACAAAGTCAAGAAAGAAAGCAAAAGTAGTGAAGCTGTCGCTGCTAATTAAAGCGACTTCATATTATGCTTTGTATATCAAGCTAAATCTATGTAGTTAAATGATATCCTTTCAATATTTGAATATTAGGGATAAGTGTGTAAGCTTTTGTTATTGCCATCGTATGAAATTTTCATACAATAGCAGTACCATACTCAATTTCTTGATATACTTTCGATCTAATTCGCAACATTCGAGTATATATATATATATAAGTAAATACTTGTCATTACATGCAAGATAGCAAAATATAAAGCTGGATACTAGTCTACTGAGTAGATGTATCCTTAATTTGCTGACAATGAAACGATTATTCATCCTAATAAGAGTAAACCGCTTAAAAATTTCTATTTGTTTGATAACTAACAACGCCAATGCTATAATGATATGATAATTTTACAGACATTCATTACGTTTTGTAAGAGATTTTCTTCGCCAGTTGCTACATCTACTTGCATCACCATTGATTATTTTCACTGTTTTATTGTATTGTATCTATTTTTCCGAAAAAAGTATGCTAAGCTTTAGCAGTAGAATAACTAATGGAACAGCAACGTAAATACAATACCTAGGAAATCACAACTCTGTCTGAAAGCTTTAATATGATGATATACGATTACTGGTAGATTGATTTATTGATAGATACGCGTATTTAACTGATTACCATGTTATACATGTAATTATATGATTAATCATGAAGGGCAATAAATTCAAATGTTTTTCTCGAAAGTCCACAGGATGGTCAAAGAAATCGTTAAGGGTAGTCATCTGCTTTCCACGGTATTTGCATAGACATAATTTGTAAATCCTATGCGCATATACGAAATGCGTATCATAGAGCTGAGAAGAAAACTGATACTATACTTATAGTATAGAGTATAGAAGATGGATGGTAAAAGAGGAAAAAGCCTGGAATCTTGAAGATGTGTGTTCAACTAAAATCAGCAATAATTTATTTTATATCATCTTGGCACCGCATAGAAAGTTAGTTTGTACCAAACCGATTAATACCATTGATGAAAAATCGGATAGCAGAATAGTGCATTGTTTTGCAGCACAAAGTGTTACCCATTGCATTACTGCCATTTACATCGAACACAAATGAGAAAGCTACTACGTACACTACTGTAGGTGCAATGCGCGAAAGAGGAGTCCACTATGCAGTGGTAGGAATGTTATTAGTACGCTGAATGAGTGAAAATGTTGAAGTCGTGCAATCGTTTGAGTTAGGTAACCCTATCTCCAATATTGAAATATACTGTAGTAAACAGTTTATGACGTACTATTTCAATTTTGTTTTGCAATAACAATGCTCGGCCGAGTTATTTCATCTGTTTTATATGAAACAAGATGCATACAGTAAATAATTATGACAAGATCCATTCATATGTCTTTCTCATATGTGGATTGGTGGTCACAGATGGTCCAGTCTAGTGCTTTTTCTGCACAGTTTTTTACTTGCCGTTTTACTGTATTGTCGAAAACTCAGGAATCCATATACTGTATCATAAGTTATTTCCATGTTTCAAACAGTATACTGTACATGTGCTGTAAAAAGGTGCAGTACCAGAGCATTCCATTTCATCACCATCTTCATCATGCCACTAGCACCAGTTGTACATTACAGTACAATGTACTGTACAGTCCACTACAGAGTACTGTACACTGTACAGTGTACAGTACAGTTGGTCCAAATCTATCAGTACGGTACGGCTACTCCACCCCGAAAATACTTACAGTACTGTACCACACTCGTCTCCGTACTGTACACTGTAGCAACTCTCCTGACGTGTCTCTTTGTTAACCAATTCAATCATTTCTTCTGTATTGGACTGTAGGACGAACCAACGTGACTGAGCACTCACACCACGATCATAGGCGATTGAAGGTCCCCAAAATCGCCCTGCGACAGTAGGCCAACAAATCAGAGAGTTCAAAGTTTTCTGCTTTGACCAAGTTCGCTCCAAAGAAGAATCTTAATTCAGTGTTAGAATAGCAAGAATTGAATAAATTGGTTGGGAATTCTGGAAAAATTACATCTAGCTTTCTGTATGAAAACTTCGAGTGGCTTTTGACCTAGTTTGAAGAGGTATTTAAAGTGGTATGATATACTACGGTAGTGGAAAAAGAGCTAATCCTTGCGGTAGTATACTGTACTCTATAGGGTAACAATTGGGTGGATAGTACATGACTGATTGTACAATACCAATATACATAGTAGAACACTAGACTAGAAGATATAGTCGGTAGCCATGTTGGAGAAGAAAGATGTACTCCATTGATTAGTCAAGATTCTTTCTGCTAACTCTATCTATTAATTTCGAATAATAGGATTGATCTTTTCGTAGAATAGATAGAAAAACGTGAATGATATCTTTGCAAAATGGACAATCCTGGAACTAGGAATGCTGCAGTAGCGGACTTTGGTAAGTATCTCAATGACACGAGTACAGTATAGTCTTGCTAATTTTCTTTCTTGCTTATTACATGAAAACACACAAGCCATGACAACATTTAAACCCCATTTCTTTTTTTTCAAATTCTAATTCAATTCTTAATTCATCCTAGACATAGGATAACGTAGATTTTAGTACTACTTGCTAATCGATCATTCCAATGCTTTCCTGACATGCATTTTACTCTGTCTCTATGCAGTGTTTTGAATATGCTTTGATGTGTATTAACTTAATATGCGGCAGCATTCATTGATTGAGTCAGTCAAAAAGCATCTTGACATCACCTAGTGACTTGGTCGAGTATGCTATGCCCTCCAAATGCAACTCATTGATGGAAAACGTTAATCAATAACACTAAGCCATACATGATATCGAAACTTTTACTGAATACACAAACTTGATTCTTATGAATCGTATGGCCGATGCATTTAGTAATCAATGGGTTGATAGTTGGCTAATCTACCTGCGTTAGAAATGTAGATACGCTTGGACTACTCATAGACTACACAAAGCAATACATTGATTTTTTAGACAGACTTGAAATACTCACTACTCAATCTTAAGAATCAATTCGTGGACACAGTATCAATAAATATAAACTTGTATAATTTTATTAATAGACGACAACGCAGATATTTCACATCAATCAAAGATCACCGATGAGCCCAGTCAGGCCTTTGATTCATTCCCGTACAGTGAAAATGTGGCAGGTTTAGATCAGGAAAAATACGAAAAAGATAGTCCAAGAGAAGATGAAGTAGTTGCAGCTCATTCTGAATCTGAATTAGATACTGATGTGATAATAGGCGGCACTGAAGGTACTGACGTTGGCGGCGATGAATCCGAATATCATTGGCTTGATGATTACGGAGACAATAGCGCTTCCAAAACGAATCAAGATCTTCCCTCAGAAAATACGTTTCAGTTAAATCAAGAAACAGATGTTGCTGATAATCCGTTACCTTCAGATACTGAAGTTGAGGATACTGTCCATTTGACCGACGAAAGAGATATACCACAAGATGGACAGATTAACTCGCATTTCCCTTATTCCGACTTGGATACAAGAGACGAATTACGGGCATCTGAAAAAGTTTCTCCTACTGACGCTAGGCCTGAAGGTATAACATCTTCTGAATTGACGTTATCTTTGCTAAGTGGCTCTATTACAGCATCTCAATTGCATAAATTATAAGTAGAGTAGTACTTTATAGTGAATCTGGCCAGCGATCCAATGTTAATAACTGTTATCGCCATTCAATACAGCGTATTCTATGGTGTCATAGTCATTTCTACAGATATAAGTCACATAGTAACATCGTAAGCATAGATATACCTATATTGCTGCTATAATTGCACATTCTATTCTATATCATAGCATCACAAATATACAGCGACAACTAAGAAATTATTAATAGTTCTGTTATATTGTTATAATATTCCTATATAGGTAACGATTTCGCCGAGGATAACAGCAGTGCCAATCCTCAAGTATTAGCATCATTTAGCTATGATCCTGAATTTTTACAGGGTGGTATGGATGAAAATACGTTAACGACTTCTTTCAGCAAAAGCGACGATATCAATATAGACAATGATAGTTCGTTAGATAATAAATTGCGATCTTCAAGTCATGATAATCTAAGTCATTTAGGCGCTCTCGCTTATGGAACCAATCAGAGAAACTTGCCTATTAGACAGAACAAAAGTAGCGATAATTTAAGTAATATGCCGTACAGTAAAGCAACGGTTGTAAGTACTGGGAGTGAACCGTCTTTAGTAGCTGCAGTAAGGGCCGGAGAACCGAAAATCAATTATTACACACCAGCATACGACCAAGGAGCGGCAGAGAGTACTAACGTTGATAAAGTAGAGACTGACAATTTTAGTTTTGCTAAGCGTACTGATAGTTTTGTTAATGCAATAGAATCGAAAGATACCAATGTACCTCGTAGTTCTGATATTACTCCGTCAATAACGCAAGAAGAAAGTAAAATTGGAAATGCGCCCATTGACCCCAGTGATAATTCGGAAAATCCGCTAATAAATTCTTCTTCTAACTACCAAGTTGCACCAGTTATGCCGCAATCGCAGCCTCCCCCGCCTCCCAATAATTTTGCAACTAGTTATTTACCTACAACAAAGAACCAGCCGCAGTTTCCGGGTCCTGATCATTTTGCAAAGCAAGCTTCAGTAACTAAGAGCAATCAATACCAAGGTATGACTAGCGCTGGACAACCTTATGTTGATCAGAATCAAACCATCGGAAACGAATCAAGTTCTGCATATGGTAGCCAATATCAACAACAACAACAACAACAACCCGCGCGATTGAATACTCAAAGTGGCAATGTCGATGCCAATCAGTATTATAATTATCAGCAACAATATCCTTACGCTTCATATCCGTATCAACAATATTATTATTACCCCACTCCTTGGGATCCGTACGGCTACCAGTATCAGCAATACCAGGACTGGTACTACTCAACGTACTACCAGAATGCAAATTACTATGGATCAAATCCTAATGATCAGCAAAACTACCCTGGATTTGCTGATCATCAGCAACAGGAAGCCCAATATTACGAAAATTACTATACTCAATCAGCTGTTCAACAAGGTCCACAGGAATCAAATAATCCTAACTTCGCCAACAACGCTCAAGGGGACGCTTTGGATTCATCTACCTACGATTCAGAAATGGCCCCTACAACTAGTACTTCTGTAGCTACTCCACAACTACCAATCTATGACCACGATCTCACTTCAGATAACAATGTAACGCATATTGAATCAAATACTGATAATTTTCATTATCAACAAGGTGAACCCACTATACCTGATTATTCTGAAGTCGATGCTAGTGCTATAGCATATCCACCAGGACCAGATGAGGACGTACCTATTGAAGAAGGTATAAAACAATGTATTGCTTATCATTACTGAGGAAACAATTGAAATAATTCGCTTAATAAAACTCACTACTACAACATATAGATGAAGAAGATCAGAAACCTCCACCGTTATACGTTGCACCTCATGTTAGATGTAATTTTAGCTTTGGTGGGGTAGTGGTTATGACCTCAGCCAGTAACCCTAACATGGTAACTATATCTCAGCTACAGGTAAGCCTTAGAATGCGTTCACTATTATACCTATTATACATATTCATATTAGAAATTTAAGGAAATACTGATACCTATCATTACGTCACTCTATATACTAATTTCAGAATAGCGTATCGGAACAGAAGCTGCAGCATGATATCAAAGATTTTCCTGGGCCTCTAATGTGTGACGATACACACAAACGTGATATAATAAGTTATATTGAGACTAAAATTGCTAATACGACTGATAGAATGGAAACATCGTCATCGCGTTTACTGTGGAAGTATCTACTGATGGGAATTCGCCAAAATGGAACAATACTAAATACTGATATTTCTGAACTACTGTTAAACGATGAGCAGTTATGTAATGAAAGTAGTAATAAATTGGCCACTAATGATGATTTCGAATCTGAGTGCCACGATGAAGCAGAACTAGAAAGTTCTCCGCAAGTTTCATTTAATATGCAAGCTATTGAAAAAGAATTTAGGCAATTACTATTACAAGGGAAAAAAAGGGAAGCGTTAGAAATTGCAATCGGTAATGGTTTATGGGGCCATGCTATGATATTATCCAATAGATTAGATTCTCGAATGTACAAAATGGTTATTAACAAGTTCTTTCTGTCGATGATGGAAGGAGATACTTTACTAACACTATACCAAGTATTAGATGGTCAACTACCAACAGCCATAACTAATAAACGTACCATAAATACAAATTGGAAATCGCATTTGGCAATGTTATTGTCTAATACAACATCTAATTCGAAGTTTGATAAAGACAATATAATTTCTCTTGGAAATCAGTTGATGCAAAATGGTGATATATTCGCTGGACAGTTATGTTACCTGATTGCAGGAGTAATCCCTGGCCGTTTTGATAGTGAAAAAAAGGACTTTATATTAGTTGGTCAAAATTCTGCAAGTAAATCATTACAGTATTTAGATATTGTCGATATTCATCGTACTGAAATATGTGAGTATATTCGCTCGTTACAAAGACCTGGTGACGCATTCCCAAAATTTCAGCCGTATAAATTTATGTACGCAGCACTTTTAAGCGAGCTTGGCGGGAAGGACGAGGCCTTACAGTACTTAGAATCCTTGGCTTACACTATTCATTCTAATCCAAAACTATATTCTAAATCATTTATTAAATGTGTAGCAAATTTCGCTTCTCGTGCTACATATTTCAATCCTGAAGATAGTGGCAATGAAGACGAAGATGAACCGGAATGGCTAGCTAATCTTCACTCATTGACCGACCTTGACTATAATAATAATTTATATCGTTTTAATAACAGTACATCAACAGATAACAATGATGTGATAGCTCCAAAAGTGGAGGATGACTACACGTATCAAAATCCAGCTTCACCCATACAATCTTATTCTGGAGGCGGCAATCTGTCTCTTGTGCACACACCAGCTGAATCAAATAAATCTGTTCATCAGTTTACCTTTGATGAATCAGAAATTAATAGGCAACATGAAAACAAACCTGGATTATATACCCCGACACAATCTGAAAATAATTCTGGATTGTATAACCGTGCACAACCTGAAAATAAGCCTGGATTGTACAGCCCAACAATTCCAACCAGTCATCAAAGACAAGACAGTCCTAAATTATTTTATAATCCCAATAGTACTTCACAAAGCCAACCTACTGGTGGAAATATCCCATTAAATCCAATATATGAACCTGCGGGCAACAGCGCTGCAATGTATGAACCTGCTAGCAGCAAGACCACAGTTCCCCGTGCAAATACCTATAAGCCAGAAGTAGAGATATATCAATTAATACTGCATCATATAGTTAGAATTAGAAGAATTAACAGCTGTTATTTAAAGAAATTTATTTTTAATGTTAGGAAAATCAACAAGGTCCTAATATCGTCGATAAGTTTCAACCCAATAGGGACACAGTGAAAGCACCAAGTGATGGTAGCGTAATAATTACTACTTATAGCAATAGGTATATTAAAAATCGCTAACCTAGTATATATATATATATATATCTTTCATATAAAAAGATATGGCCAAAAAGAGTCAAGATTCACCGGCTAAAACACCTGGAAGGAAAGTTAAGCAAAAGGTTTGCATTAAACATTTCAATTGCTAAAGTCTTATTCTAATATGGAATCAATGACTTTTCGTAATTGTTGCTATCAAAGGGTTGGTTATCTACCGTCAGTAGTATGATCTTTAGAGGAAAAAATGAAATGCATTTGCCCGATGACAGAAAGCCAACTGTATGTTTTCGAGCATTAATATTATGACGTTTTGCTACGATTAGATCTTGTTAGTTAAATTTTTATCTATGCGCTATTTTTACATGTTAACAGATTTACTATGATGAAAATTTAAAAAAGTGGGTTGATAACGATAATCCAGAAGAGGTAAGAAAAAACTGCGACTTAGAATTACAGTAGCCTTTATCTGCAGTTAGTTAGGCTAGATTATAATTTGATGATTGTTAATTATTTGGACGTATAAGACAACAAAAGCTGCTGCTCCGCCCCCATCAGATACACAATTAACCAAGCCTTCCACAGCTCAACCTAGTGAGTATTTGCAACATTTTACAATCACGTACTCAATGCAATCTATGTATAAAAAATAGCTAATTATCGACCAACTGTTGACGTAGGCATCCCAACATATCAGCAGCCGATGAATAATTCTGCAAACAATCCTATGCAACCGCTTTCCCAGCAACAGGAATCTACGACAACATCCACTGCCGGGGCTTCAGCTACTAACAGTTATTCTATCTTTAAAGGGCGCGGTGGGAAAATGGGTAAATTTTTTAGCCTTACTGTGTATACGAAATTAAGATTGTTAACTCATAACCTCTTCAATTGGACGCTATTGACTTCATCCATTGATCATCAGGTGGTCGAAGCCAATATGTCGATGTTTTCGGCGGAAAAAAAAGTGAAACAACCTCAGGCCAAAAGACAATTCTTCCTCCAAACTTCCTCAATCCTGTACAAAATAATACAACTCCAGCTAAAGCAACAGGACAATTTTTCGTTCCAACAGCTAGTATGTTCAAACGCATGATGTAGATTTTAAGCTACCATAGATGTACGTGTATGTATTTTTATTTTAAGGCTCGTAATTTGGAATGAACTTTTTTAAGATCAAGATGACGTATCAGATCCATTTACGAGTTCAAGTAATAATAATAACTCTAATGAAGGGTTGCAAGAACACTCTGACAATGACCATGGAAGATATCAAACTGCAGAAATGCGATCTAATCGTGAAAATAGGCAGCAAGCAATGAATCGCCAAGAACCGTACGAATCCAATGTGCATGGTATATAATAAAATATGAAAATCTAGTTATATGATTTTTGTTATTGAACTTTAATTTAAGTAAGCGACTGCATCATCTCATAGGTAACCAAAACAGGAATATTGCACAAGATCCATCGGGTCAATTGTATGATAGTTCGCAACAAGGTAACATTCAAGCGTTATCAAGCTTTCAACGATACTTTCAATGTAAAATCTATTTATGTTCTCATTCAAGGTGTTGATGTTACAGCACATACTGGAACACACGATTCATATGCCCAAGGTAGACTTGGTGGATATGCTGCTGCAAATATGTCTACATCTCAGCCGTTCAGTTCAAATCTTCCGGATATGCAAAATAGATATTCTCATGATTTAACCTCTTCCTATGGCACGGAGAGTAACGTTAGCGATCTTGGATTTTCTGCATCCGATACCGGGTAAGATATGCAGCTATTATCTACTGGTTCTATTTGCATTAGTTTATAACTAATAGTGTTATGCGGGTACTTTCACCGTAAAAATACTCTAGGGTGAGCGACTCGGTGCAATCGACGCCCAGACAATCTGAATATCAGGTACAGACATCACAAATGTTATTAAGTTATATGCTAAGTTTATTTCATAATGAGAATGTATAGTAAATAGAATGTCATACTCGTTTTCATAGAATGAAACTAATACTAAGCCCCAGGACATATATCAGCAACCATTCCCTATTGGTTTCCAAAATCAAGGCGGAAGTCATTCTAGAACATCCAGTTTTAATCGTCAAAAAAGACCGCCACTGTCATTAGGTGGAGCTTATTACTAAATTAAATTACGGTTGTTTATGTCCACACGTGTATGTGGTATTTGTTTGGCTTTTCTAGCAACACTTTTCCGGATTCCGCTAATTCGATGTTTAATCGCGGTACCAGAAGATTTATTTACTATTCGAGGAATTTTATTCAAGTTTACAGTACAACGTATAAATTCATGAAAATATTATATCGGTTTTAAACATATGCTATATGGCGATTTCAATTTAATTTACCTATTAAGTAATGTTATCTGCATTAATAGTATATATTTGAATTTAATTGATAGTATGGGTTGTAAATATTTTTTGAGCGAGGTTATGGATTTTTTTTTTAAAGTTTCATTGGGAAGTGACGCTCTGTTGGAAAACTAAGATACTTTACTAAACGATAGTAATAAAATGTTATTATTCATCATTATTGTTGATACATTAATTAAATTGATGACATTTTGCTATGACCTTTCGATCTAGTATCAACCACTACAGGTTTTAATTCATAACCCAGGTTTACAGTCCATTATGATCACTAAATTCTGATTATTAATCTTTCAGTGAGCTAGGTTAAGACATGTTCGTTATCCTAGGAAGTATTCCAACAAAGTGAGTTCCTAAACTATTTCGAGCGACTTTAGTATTACAATAGCCACGAATGAAATGTAACGGTATGTCAAGTAACCTTCTGCCAGATGATCGCACATGTATATCATTAGAACATTATACAACAAGGCGTCTCGAACCGACCTACTGCAACCCGTTAGAAATGTTATAGAATTAGCGTTACTTGATATCAAATGCCCTAAGTAATAAGCAGAAATTAGACGAAACGATGAGAGCAAGTTGTAGGCCTATCATTACTTTTGATGTGGTGAGTAATGAATAACTACAATACCTATCTTCAAAAAATTCGGTAGAGTTAAAAGATTCTAGTAATGAGAGTTAACTTTCTAAGAATATTCCTTAAAAATATAACGGTCATATCCAATGTTGTACCTATGTTTGCTGCATTTTAAGAAATATGCCAAAACGTTACCAAAAAATAAGAACCAAAGTCTTTAATATGAAAATCTTTACTAGTTGAAAATTGAACTCTTCCCGCTGTCAATCAATGCGTATTTAAAGTATTTAGGTTCGCCATTACTGCACAATATAACTTTAAGGATAATATACGAGAAGGTATTTCTAGTAGTCCATGACTGTACTATCTTTTTCTCTCAGGGTCGTAGAGATTTTTATCTCGATGCTAGTCACGTGTAGAGGTAAATCTTACTACATACTGTACTACATCCGTGAATGGCTGTGCGCAGCACAAGATCTGTAAAATAGAAATTTTTATTACACTGTACAACCATTTCTGGTTTCTTTCCTTCCTTTTAGCCTAAAATAAGGGAGAGAGCATTGAAAATATAGTGGCAATACAATGCTCGGAGGGCCTGGTCTATTGAACTTTACTGTATGGAAGGTCTGCAATCGTATACTAAGTTACGAAAGCTTTTTTACTTCTTATTTCTGTAGTAGTGTATAACCAGTTGTTGGGATTATAATACTAAAATCGTATACCTTACTAATCTGCCAGGTACAGTACTGTATAGCGTATAGGTATACGATTTTAGAATTATAATCCCAACAACTGGTACGCAAAAAGTCATGCATTACTAAATTACATCTAGTAGCCATAATAGAGTAGACGTTGTGATATTACAGTGAACTGACCAGTTGTATCATGGACTACTAAATAAATACTTACTAATTTAGTAGTTCATGGTGGTGTGCAGTCTAAATCGAGTTAGATGCAAAAATGATTACTATAGTGATTAGTGTCGTGATTACTGTCAGGAATGCAGATTATGTAGCAGTCATTATATCGAAAGTTTGGAAATACGTAGACCTAGTTTTCGTCTTCTATACTGCTGTTTATGACCTTATATCTTCATATTAGTAGAAGAATCGGATGATATACAGTAAGCTTAATTTGTGCAAGTACCTGTTACAAAATAATAAAACTAGAGATCTTGACGATGAAACATATGTATATTGCTATATGTAATTTGATAATCTAAGCTTTAATAACAGTCACGCACAATTTAAAGGTGAATGCCATAGGATTTATGACTGTTGTTGATTTTATGAAGTATATAGCGAAGACGGTGTATGATAGAGTTCTGAATTACAAAGTCGATTTGCAAATCTATCTAACACAAGGCTGACCCAGCCGTACATTTTATTTTATTATGCCATTAAAAGACTCGGACCGATTGCGATCAGTAAGCCCCATATAGTAACTGTAAATAGGTGCTAACATAAAATTAAAGGATAATGGAACAATATTATTCCACTTGGGTATTTATCAAAAATCAATTGAAATATCTAGCAGAATTTTGTCAATATTGCTGCTTTCATTTATTTTAACGACATAAATATACTTGATAAATTTTCAAGTTTTTTTCAATTAGTATAAATAAAATAAATATCTACCGATACATACTAATATATCAATATGAAGTTGGATTACATGCATGTAGCTGACATAATGTATGATAAATGATAATTGTGATCTCCCCGCTATAGATCAAGTAACCCCGTTGCAAACATGTGGATGTTATCAATTTTACGATTAGCTAGTAGTTTTAACCACTTTCAGATGAAGCCAAGAATTCAGCAAGGTCTATGCTTGTAACTATTCCATATGTGGATTGTCTCCCCGTAACATCCTTACAATCTAAGTTTTGATTGAAGTAAGAAATTAGAGATAGCAATAAGAAAGGGCATTTTCAGTTATAGCAGCATATTATATAAAAGGCCAGAACTTTATACTCACCATTTTTTTGATCGTAGACAACCAAAGCATAATGGCCGCACTTCAAAATACGTGATAGTTCTCCTAAGGTTTTCTCTAAGAAAATCTAGATCAAAAGTTGCATTTTTATTAAATTAGGTAAGAAAAACAGTTATAGATTCCTAATATCAATACTATTGTTGTATCAATTTTATGTATCTACAGGAGTATTCGGTTACTTATCGAAAATGTTTAATTATTCCTAAAATGCTATTTTACCGTATTAAATCGTTTGTTGGCCATGACAGAAATTGGATCAGTACTACTAACTTTCCCTTCTATTAATGAAGTAACAACACTATCACGTGTTGCAACACTGACTGGAATACTATTGCAGTATAAAAATTGACAGATAAAGTTGTTAAAGTACGATACTAAATAAATTAGAAATAATTTGGAGGCAAGTTAACTAGCGATAAAAAGTCATTATTAATTAAATGTTTTCTTTATGCTGTAATCATATCTCATAATTACCCTAATTCATCAATAACCAGTAATTGATTACATAAATCTCTATTTTCAAAATTGAAAAGGCATTTAGTAAGGTTTTCATTATAAACACTTTTCACCAATATTGGTAGTTGCACATATAAGCAAGATGGTAAGATTGTGCTATAAAAATGTTGAGACACTTGTATACAATTTATACCTTTTCATAATTCTAATAACTTCACCAATAGTTACGTTAGGTGTAATGGCTGAAGGGGTGGAGATACTGAGTCTGCTAATTGGTAAGTCCCACCACCTAGTAAGGCATACAGTATGTCATATATAAGATTTGACTACTGCAAAACTAATATTTAAAAGATTTATCCACAAGTACTATAGAAAGAAAAGTATAAAATTATCAATATACTAGAACCTACCAGGGCTTCAAATCATTCGCTGTAGACGGATCTTCCATAAATCCTTTCTCTATCATCCAGTCATCGTTGATGAATGTGCTCCTATGTTACAGGCATCAAAGAGAAAAATCATTACTTAATTTCACAATTCTACTATTACAATCCCATTATTCATTCTAATTTCATGAAAAATGGTTCAAATATATACGAACATATAATTGTGAATAGAGTCTGGAAGAATGACTACGCAAGTTTGATCTTCACTTAAGTCTTTGGCAAGAAGCAGTGCTATTGAGAGGGCACTGCCACTAGAACCGCCTAAGCCATAAAAATAGTAAGAGTACGTGTATTATCAGTAAAAGATTTCAGAGATGAATATTGTTATTCTAAAAGTATATTGAAATAATCTTACCACACAGTAAACCCTCCTCTTGAATTAAATATCTAGCACACTGGAAAGAATCCTTGTCATTACATCTATGCCACTGATCCACAATAGTTCGGTCAAGAACAGTAGGAATGAAGCTTATACCAATACCCTCTACCTTGGGATATAATTTTAAAGTCATTTATGAGAGAAATGCTGGCGTACTATTATGCTTATTGCAATTCATTATAATGCACCTACTTTGTATTCTGTAGAACTAGGGACTGATCTTAGTGGATCTACTCCGATAATCTATTTTAAATAAAACAAGTATAGGCCCACAAACAAAGTTTGTGGTTGTGATCGTTTCTAGATTAAAGGTCACAGTATGCATATATTTGCACAGTACATTATATTAAAAAATCTGAAGTAATACCTTAACATCTTTTATCCTTTCTTTTAATTTCCGACCGATACCAGTAAGAGTTCCACATGTTCCGGCTCCAGCAACCAAAACATCAATTTTGCCTATCATGGAGTAAGTCATTAACAATATCGCAATAGAAGAGCTGATATAATAGATAATTCTACTTTCGCACAATATAATGATAATTCATTAAATAAATTAATTAAGATCAAAATCTTTTAGCAATTACCATCACACTGATTTAATAATTCTTCAGCAATATTATCATAATGAGCCAATGAATTGCTAGGATTGGCGAACTATGAAATAAAACATGATCATCTTCAATAGCAAACCACCTTAGCACTTGTTGCTAAATAATTGTTTATTATCGAAGACATTTTCCAAAACAGTCGCGCGATTAACATTGTAAATCTACCAACCTGATTTAAGATAATAGCATTTTCGGTTTTTTTCTGTAATTTATCAGCAACCCCAAAAAAGGATTCTAAATTAAAATTGTTGTACGTAATAATCTATTAGCATAGTTAATATAGGAGATACAAAATTTATTCTCCAAACTTAGAATAGTGATACTTCCTATCAAATTTTTAAGGGGAAAGTTGCTTACAGTTGAAATAAGTAACAGAAAATATACCCGTACTGAAACACTCTTATATTTTTATTACTTGATACATATCATCTTAATAACTACTCTGGTTAATCATATGCTTAATAGTTAGTTACAACCGATCCAAACAAACCTGGCGAATCAAAGCTAACATTACTCGAACAACGAATAACTTCAGCCCCTAGAGCCTTTAACATGGAATCCTACCAATGTATGATATCAATTATTTACAATAAGGTAGCTTACGACCTATATACAGGAGTATATATATACTGCATGATATACGTAGTATTTGTAATAACCTTATTTATGCTCATTTTATCCGGCATAGTAATGATACATCGGTAGCCTTTAACAACCGCAACGAGGGCTAAACCAATGCCTAAAAACAATTTAAGAATTGATGTAATATATAATTATATTACCATGGACTTCCAGTCCATGGCATTACTTACAATTTGTTAAAGTAAGTTGAATATAGGCGATGAAATAAATTAGTCAACTATCTGGCGTTACCGGTATTTCCTGAGGTAGGTTCTATTATCGTGTACCCCGGTTTAATTTTTCCTTCTCTCTCTGCTTCTTCTACCATACGTAAAGCAATACGATCCTTAACAGAACCACCAGGATTCATAAACTCGCATTTAGCTACTGGAAAATATGGAAAATACGTACAACAGGAATTAACTGCTATTGAGCTATATTGGAGAATATGCTGTGTGAATGTTAGTGTAAACATATATGCGCGTATAATTAAAATACGAGCATTATATAATATATCAGCATCGAGAAACAGCAATATTTATCGTATATGTACTCTATTGCTTTCATCTAAAATAGAAATCTACACTACTATAAATTGCATTATAGATCTCATGCTCCTAATAGACATAGATTTAATACTCTATAGGTAAAAAAATATCGTATACTTACGTAGATTGCATTTTAAACCAAACTTCTTTTCAATTTTATTTAATCTAACAATAGGCGTAAAGCCGATATTTTCTAATATTGTCTGGCTAATTTTGTTATTGATTTTTCTACAAAATAAAATAAAAACCAAGTGGCCATTTAAAAAAAGCTAATTATAAGCTCATTACTGTTCTGTCTTATCCTTTAATTTAAATACCTAATATGAGATATTGTAACCTAAACACCGATGAGAACTGCAGTAGATAGTGGGAGCAAGAAGAATTAGCAGCTACCTTCTTAGGTCAACTAAGGAACAGCTATATACAGTAGAAGTAAAGTTGTGTAAAGTGTGTTGGTATCGTCAAGAATGCGGTTCATATACTGTCTTAACAGAAGTTACAGCTCTTCCAGTTACAAGATTGCAGAAGGAGAGTACTATACCATGGACTACTAAAGTAGTCCATAAAGTAGTTCATAACTATACTCTTTACACTAATTATAACTAGTTTAATATATAACTAATGATTTACTACAACCTACTGTTCACATATTACTATATTCTTATACAGTACAGTATAGCGCTACATCGGACATTTGGCTGCATTATGCATCATGATGTAGTAAAGTGGTTGACTTTCTCTAGGAAAACTTGTAATATTTTAATTGAGATATATCTTTAGTCTGCAATGTTTATATGAAGTAGAATTTCTTTCACGGTGGTGTAAAATATTACCGAACTTCGTGATGATGCGGTGACTTAGCACTGGAGCCCAACGTCCAAGTACACTTGGGAGGTCGATTAGGAGGATTTCGTAATCCGCCTTGACTTTCAGAACCGCCATCAGACATAATTCTAGATTTTTTTAAAAGCAAATGCTTTCACGGTGTCTCGATAATAATTAAATGGATTACTAGCTTCGATTTTAATTGTCCAATCGATCCTTACTAAATTTCCAATTTTAACTTATTAACGAAACCTTCTAAAGAACATTTTGAAGAGATAGAACCGATATGAGTGTCGGCAAGTGACGTTAAGTTATATTAACACTAACACGCAGATGTACGGAGAAAGAATAAATTTGATGAGCACTTATCAACTACTCAATCTTACCGGTAATATCTAGTAGTCCATGGGGGTACAAGATGATGCCGTCTATTGGCGTATGTGCTATACTGGTGTAGCTAAAGTAATACAGTCTCTATTATCGTAACTGACTGCCGGTCTGATTGCTCATAATAAGTACTGTACACATAGCGTTTTGCATCGTACTGTGCTAACTATAAGGAAGTACTAACGTAATAGTGCAAGCTATTACAGTGCGAAGTCTAATTTTAATAAACTAATACATGGACTAGTAAGCTTTTTTCTGTTATTCCCTGACTAAAATGAGATCATTTCGATTAATCCAATTGATAATAGAATTGATCCATTTTAACGATTTTTCCATTTGACTTCTATAGTGTAGCAGACTGTTACAAATCTCCTTTGTAACTAGAAAACGGGTCTTAAACACTATCTTCACTAGTACTCGTGTTCCCAACTAACTTAGGGACCATCGTAGTTGAACTAACTCTCAGCTACACAAATAGGCTACTTATGAGTAATAGGTTTCAATACTTCACTTTATTTTCGTTTATCTTCGTCGTAAAATGGACTAAAGAAAAACGTAAGAATACTCTAGCAATAATGGTCAAAAGATACTGCAAGTGACTAACTGGAACTGAGCAGCTAAGCTAGTGCTCGGCTTTTTAGAGTCTCGGCCAACGCCGATGGTGCACTTGCGAATATTCTTGACATAGCGACTTACACCGTACAGTATACATATCCTAGTATAGCAACGAGAGCCTCAAGGCTCTGCAAAGTAATTGTACCTTACACTTAAGGTGTTATTAATTAACGTTTACTGACTAAGCGTGTTAGCTCCGACACGTCAACAATATTGAACTTTCTGATACCTTGGCAATAACAAGTACTTATTAATAAACATTAATATCTAATAAGCTACTGGAGCAAACAATAATTTAAATGAGATATTTAATTAACATAGCAGTTAATATTTCGGAGCATGGCTCCGTAACACAGATATATACATTGTATAATATTTCTGCATATTAATGGTAACAACCAAAATAAGATGAACTCCATTTTGATTAGAATTATTGTCATTGCATTGTACTAAGGTAAAAAAATTACAAAGCTATACTATACCGCTACTCAAAATCCTATTGTATCTAACCATTTTTTTACTACACGAATATGATTTAGGTTCCGTGAGATATACATCAGATAATGATGATTAATTAAAATATGGTTGACATTATGCAAGTGAGTCTCAGTCATGGACGACTAGATAGAAACTTTTATTACTCCTTTCTAATAGTAGTACAGATAGTAACAGTGGTCCTTGATTGATTGAAATCACTCTTTCTACGATTAATATATTAAGAACTTCTAATCTCTCTCAATAAGTCCCTTTAGTGTGGCTATAGTGAAAATCTCTGGGTTCTTATTGTGCACGAGAGATCCTTCTGTATATACAAACAACGCTGCAATATACAACACAGTATTGCACTATCTACTATAGAGAATAGCCACATTATCGATTTAAGAATCAAGAATGTACTAGCACTGAGACGGAACTATATTAGTTGGATGAGACAATAATTACCTATAACTAGCATTACGCTGATTACAATTATTAAAATATTATATATATATATGAGGTTGTTCAGAATGCATAGTATTGATAAATTAAACTTAGAAAGATTAACGTCAACGTTCAATAACACAGTATAGCATAATGTGGAATTAATTATGTACGAGTATGTATATCTCACTTCATTGAATAATTTCGATATTATAAATACCTTTTAGCTTAAGGGTCTTCTTATACACTTGCATGCTAACATGATAAAGTGTCTATTCTAAGTTCAATAAAAAATGAAACCTCTGTATCTTAGGAAAATAATTCACTTAATTCACTTTATTACATGGGATTAAGTCTGCTACCGAGGGCTGTACTAACTAACTATCCCATAATCTATTAAGCTATATTTAGGGCTACGCTACAGCTTACTACCTGTAAATTACACTTATAAAATCCGTTACTGTTGTGATCCGGCTGTAATTCAACTCCAAAACAACGGTTACTATTTGGCTCATAGCCTGAACCACAATAAACTAGGACAGATTCGACATACGGGATCAGTTTTAATAGGTCATGCGGATCCAAACTTATTAGTGATCCGACATTGGGATTAAAGTGCTATTGATATATATATCATACCGTATTATAACTTAAAGTAATGTGGGTACATATTGGTTATATGAGTATCTATTAATGATTAGAGAAAAGGCGGGCGTTTTACATTATTATACTACGAAAAAACAGTATGGAATATAAGGAGTAAGATATCTAGCCAATACAAAGAATATAATAAATTAATCTACAGTCCTACATTATACGTGGCTTTTATCGGTAAGATATAGATAAAATTCCTTCTCGATGATTCATTACGGATAACCAAGAGGCATATGCGAAACTGATTCCATCCATATTGTATAATATCAAACGATTTTCTGTCCAGGATTTATAGTCTACTATAAATAAATTTTTATATAGAAATTTAAACGATACATGCAAAGATGAACAAGATTGTGGGTACATTTCATTTAATACAACGTTATTAGTATTTTGTTTCATGGCCTACGATGGGTCATTACGTAAATAAGATAGTCACACAGCTATTAAGTACTCGATTGTATTAAAAATATGCAAGCATAAAAAGACAGCGGAAATATTATATATCGGTATTTCAGAATTTTACTTGATATTATAAGGTATTTCATTTGTATATATCCGGTCATTCTTTGCAACGAAGATGATGTCATGGATGATTACATGAAAGGAATCAAAATGATTCAATAGTCTGGATAATATGAGATAGATGCATTCCTTTTTGTTTGGCTATTCAATTCGTATTTGAAACATTATAAATTGCAAGAAATTATGATTAAGATGTATCGGTCGAATTCTCTATAGGATGGGGTTATTTCGATGTAAATAGAATAAAAGAAATAAATAATCGTTCAATGAAAGTAAGTGTAAAGAAATATTTCCTGTCTAGAATACAACATACCCCTTTCTAGATGTCTTTATACTATAAGCAAACTATCGCGATTAATGATCAAGAAGATATTAGATGAGCTAACAGAATGGTATCAAAGCCAGTAGTAACTCTCCATGTCGGTATTTTTATTTATTATTTATCCAATAAAGTATTTCATTCGCATAAATATCGGACCCTTCTTGACAACGAATAAGATGATGTCATGAATTATGCATTACAGAAATCAGCGATAGTTCATTTAAAAAACATGATATTGAAGTCAGACTTTTCAGTCTAATTGATAGCAATACTATATCTAGCTGATTGAGAGTAAACAGTTATAAAAGGTACTTTGCATGGCTAGAGGGAAGATTTTCTTCTAGGATAGCTTTATTATACCATGAGCATAAGAAGTAAAGAATGATAAACCAAGCATAAGATGACCGTTATTTGTCTTGATTATGGTATAGAGTAGCCTTAAGACTACGGAATATAAGCTAATAGAATCGATCACTATTACATCAATAGGTAAAGCTAGATCAAAAGATAGCGGAAATGTTATTTTATTTTTCACGCCTCATTTATTAACTGATCATCTTGAGGGATGCATGAAACAATTATTATCCATGAATCATGTAGATAAAGAATTTATAGAACAAGCAACTAACGGCAATCATCATCGATAAGGTTGCTATACCATCGACAATGAATAATGAGTAAGCCAGAACAAATGCTATAAAATAATTCCATTGATGACGGCAATTGAAGAAATCAAAACGAATCAGTTATCGACTATTTCAAGCAGCGAAGCGTTTATAGGTAGCCTGAAATATAAACATTAATCGCTCCTTCTTTATATTCTTTTGAAACTCATCCTTCGATAACATGGTAGAATACATAAATCAAAAGAAAGGAGCTATCTCAAAAGATTACCGCACACTATTGATAATAAAGTCGTGGTAATCCATTAGCCAATATGGGAGCTAAAACTACCACGACAATAGTTTTGAATAACCCTCTCGACTTCCTTTATTGACGTCATCGCCGTTAGGGATTAGTGAATCACTAGTGGAAAAAAATAAATAAAATGCATGAGATCATATCTAGCATTTTACTCGCGATGGGCAGTCCAATGTACACAATACAGTATGTTATAGACAATCGGTCATTGATTTCTCTTGATCGATTACGTCTGTTGACATTCAATCTATTCTTGATTGATTAGGCGAACATATTAATCAAAAGCTATTATCAAACCAAATCAATAATTGCGTTTAAGCGAAACTACGATAAGTCACGATTAGAGTCAACAAGTACCGTAGCTTACATATAAGGAGATGAAGAAAAAGTCCATATCTAATCTCAATTCGTCAATTGCTGCATGTCATTAGACGCCTCGTTTAAGCCTCGACGCTTTGTTGACCACTATACAACACAATATAAATTCAATTTCATATCCCTGATTTCATTAAATCCAAGCGCCTGCCAAATCAAATCACAACTAGACGTGTCCATTTTTAGGGTTGAAATTTTTCAATATTGGCCTAGTGTCTAAGGGTAAATGTAAGTAATTAAACAGGATTTTCGTTAGAATAAATTCTAATTCTAATTTACTAAAATTCTCATTTTTTTCATTATAATTTTTATCACTTATTCCGTTGACATTATCAAAGTTTTCATTTCTTCCCACAACATAATTTACATGTTAAATACTTCGAATTTGGTAATAAGTAATATAATTTTATCAATGATTTATAAACGTACCGCAATAGTGCCAAATAATCGATTTTTAATCAGTGCAATCTCATCAAATATCGAAATTACTTACGTGCGAGATTGTATCTTCATTTCATTCCCTGCTTATTCAATAACGAGCTGATATTTTGCTATATTACAATAATAAGTTCAATTCCCTCATCCTTAGCGAACGTAATAACTATGGAGCAATTCTTTTGTAATTAATACTACTCTCAAGACTCAACGATCGAATTCTACTTAAACAAACTACGTAACTATAAAATGGATTAACTCACTATTTAATCTATTCTATTACTTTTTTATCTCTGTTGTTGATTGAAAAGAAATACTAATGTACTCAAGCTTTGAAGTGCTTTAAACTATCCTACAAGGGACTATTTAAGAACGAAAGTACGTACTTGATCACGTACATACTTGACCACTAAGCTTTGTTCCTCCTATCTCAGTTTATACGGTTATGTTTATTACCGAATGAAAATTTTCAATCGTCTAACTATCAAGTTTTAGCTGTAATTCATATCTATAATATTATCTAAAATATTCATACTGCTGGCATTAATTCAATCACTTACACTTTAGCGAAAATTTTAACTACTAGTTATTGTTACAAAGCAGCATTATTGTAGCTGGCAATTTATTGAAAAGTATAGTATCTATACACATTTAATGAACGAAATCATATCAAGCAACAAAAATCGTAATTTAAATTACAGGTTGCATATTGATATAGGTAGGATTAATAACGGTTACTGTAGTGATAAAGAACAGCATTTAAACATTACAAAACGAAAAATTAAAGAAAAATCTAGCACCGATTTATACTAGTGGTATCATTGGCTGCTATCGCAAGCATTACGAACCACATTCGTATCTTATATTAGTACATTTGTAGCTGAAACTCTAGCTAAAATACTAAAACATTAAGATAGACTTAGTGTTAAAAGTGGATCACTTTAAATTAGGAAAGATAACGTAAAACTATCGTCATATTCACATAATGATACAAGTTTCAACGTCTAATATTATAAAAAAAATGTCTATTCGTATGTATACAAATTTTATACAATACAAATAATGGTTGATAGTGATCCTTTTTCATGTTATACAATCTTGACTACTATACTTATTGCTATAATTCAGAAGAAATTAAAGTAAAATGCAGTATTTTAGTATAAGAAAGGTGCTCAAAAGCTCTCATTCCAGTAACATGCTTGGCATTTAATAGTTATGGAAAGAGTCAAATTATATTATATTTACTAAGGAATGTTATTGAATAAGGGCAAGATTTTATAGAAATATTATTGTTGATAATTTAAATCATTATAAATTTTATTATTTGTTCTTTATGTATCAATAACTAACATCTTTGATCATAAATAGATGACACTGACGCAATAGGATTAAGATTTGTGAAGGATTAAAATAAAATAGTCTTCTATTTTCAATTTTATAACCTTTAAATTTGAATAAATTTCTACTCTAACTTAATTTAAGTATGGTTAGATCAATCTATTATACGAGTAATTGACCAATTACCATATCACCAATCAAAGTTACCGGTTATCAATACGTGCAATATCTCCTTATTTCTATGACATGCATAAATATTACTATAGCAATTTTATTATCAGGCTGCATTAATAATTATGTAACAGAATATAGGCTAATATCCCTAATTATTAATTTTAGCAATAATACAGTAGATAGTTTTTAACGAAGATAATCTTTATCGCAGTGATGATAACCTTGTTGATTGTTTTATTATTACTACTAGTTTAATTACATTTGGCTTTTTTATCCAGCGCATGATTAACTTATGTAAATATTATATCAGAACATGTATGGTCTATTGCAGTATACACCATCAAAAAAGATGCTACGTACGATAAAAAAGGGAATTGATTATATTTATTATTAATTTGTCTTTATTTGCTGAAGAATTTTAACAATATGACTGAAACAGAAGAAAAAGAAATCATGCTTGAAGATTTATTCTCTAAATGTGACCGGGATCACGATGGATTAATCAGTCTTGAAGAATGCCAACATTTATGCGAAATGCTAGATGTCAATCAGCAATGGCCTCAATTGGAAGATCGTCTATTATTCTCGACAGCGGATCAGCAAGTTCGTTTATAATTTTCGACTAAACATCATACTCACGCTTAGTTAAATATATATTTTAAGTGAAAATTAAACTGTTTCAGCTCACAGCAGTTTGAGAACTGACATATCTTACTCTCTATAATTCGCTAGATTACATATGAACAATTTCAGGATGCCTTTGTCAGCGTACTAATGCATAAGTACTTTCATAATGATGATCAGTCTGTTACATGTAGTACATGCAGTGAATTTAGTAGCACTGATTCAATCTCGGGTAAGGAGTTATCATTTTGATGCTATGAAATAGATAGATAAACGAGTATACAAGTATATATGTCTATTATTAGAATGTTAAAGATAAGAGAGATTCTGCGTAAGAATCTAAAATTCTGTAACTGCAGATGATTACTTAATTCCATAGTTAGAGAGTTATTATTTAGATGTTGTAAAATATATATGGATATATACGAATATATTCTTATTAGTATGTTAAAGATAGGATAGATTTCATGTAAAAATTCAAAATACTATAAGTGCAGATGATTACTTATTTCCATACTAAGGAGTTATTGGATAAAGGTTTTGAAATCTATAGATATAATCGTATATATTCTTATTAGCATATTAAAGATAGGATGTGTTCGATATAAGAATTTAAAATTCTGTTAGCACAGATGATTAATTATTCCCATCCTTGATTATTGCTTCTTATAGCCTTGACAAGACGACATAGTCTATGTCCTTCTGTCTACTTGGTGAGTGATTGCTGTAAAGACAGTCAGCAGCCAATAAACTTATGAACTTAAACTGTATAACCCGTACATATCATTTTATATATACAAATATAATATAGAAATCCTTAATTCAATAAGTACAAGCTCGATACATTTCGAATTGAATAAATTTAGGTCCCTAAATTTAATGCTATTTATAATAAATTGCTACAAAATCAATATCTTTAGTGCAACGTAAAAATAAGATTGAGTTATTTTAAATATCGCAATATAATCTTTCCCTGGATTGATAATAACAAGTAATGTTACTCTATAATTATTTATTAATAGAGAGGAAGTTCTAGCAGAGTCTCAATCAGCAGCACTCAGACGAACTTTGAATCTGATGACGACAATGACTCCGAAATTTTGATTTACTCGGACGACAATATAACAAAAATTCAAGCACATGACGTTCTAAGAGGTGTTTGGTTACAAATTAAATCGGATGAAAGTCAATGCTTAGAGCTAAATGAATTTCGTGATGTATGCCAACGCTTCGGTATGAAAGACATCAATGAGGTAATTTAATCATGTAGACGAGATATTAAGTAATCGTTAATAAATAAGATGTTACGGAGGGTAGCAAAGACCAGTTACTATTCCACTTTAGTATTGTGCTGAGTATATAATGAAATCAATAAAAGAAGAAATTAAAACTAACTTCAAATTTCTTCTCGTAAACGAACTAGTAGATAACGAACTGAATGCCAAATTATTGTAGTATGCGTTTTATCAACCCCCTTGACTATATAGTTGGCCTTCATTTTCTAATATGTTCAGTAGTTTGCTTTTATGATCAATTTTTTTATCTTCTAACACTCTCTTAATATGAATAACTAAAGTAAAAATTTATGATTTATTCCATTAATCAATATAATCGTGATCCCAAGATAAATGTTCATTAATACAAATATTTATATTTCTGTCAATAGAATTTTCGTATACTCTTTGAAGAATTGGATAGCAACCATGACGGATTATTAAGTTTTCAAGAATTTCTGTCAGGATTAGATGCAATCCAACTTGTCTAAAACAATTATTGTCTTCATTCTACTTTATAATTCTTTTCCATATTCGACTGTGCGGCATATGAATTTGGCTATCAAATTTAATTAAGGCTACAAATTTAAGCTAAATTAAGTCGAAAACGAACTTCAGACTACATCATTTCACATCTTATCTTACGTCCATGTTAAATTAAGTAAGCAGCATCGAAAAGATATGGATATGCTCATCTTTGGTAAGCAGTAGCCCATAAACATGAAAATAAAATAAAAATAGTTTTTTATCCTGCACGTATAGCCCTGAACTGCATCTGCATAGAATTCAATAATTCAATGTTAGATTACTCTTTTGATGTAAGCTATCCTAGATCACGCTTATAAATATACATAAATCATTAATCATTACACATAATTAATCTATTTCTATAGCTTTAATGATTGATAGCTTGAGTTGTCATGGTATTGTATAGTAGACGCTATTTATGATTAATGAAGAATTTTACTAAGTTATATTAATCTTTCCTAGCTTATCTAGATCATCAAATATAGTCATGAATGCTGTTTCATTAGCGGCATTCAATTATATAATCTATTATTTTGATTTATTTGATAATTGATGTTAATCAATTATTATTTCTCTCTGCACAAAATAATACAGTAAAGGTTAAAAGTGTACCACTATTGAGCATGCAAACTAATCTCACTAAGATTTATTGCCTATTTCGAAATATGTCACCACAATCATGTCTTACTAAGCAACGGAATAAAGTTCAGATCCACTACAGTATAATTATTGCCTTACTTATCTTTACTAAAAAAATCACATTTTTAACTATTTGCGCGATTTTGAAGCCTATTTTACAATATGTAGAATTTTAAAATAGGTTTACTATTACTTTAAAATTATTTTTAGCTAATATGGTCTAATTTTAAAGCAGCAGTACTATATAGGTATAAAATCTGCTTTCTATTCAACCCAGACTTTCCCTCAAGCTTATTAAGCCAAATTTAGCTATCTTGTTACTATACGGCATAGTAGTCGTAACTTGTGATACTGATCAATATGATCACTCAAGTTTAGAATACGAGTATGAATGCCACAAGTAAACAGTTAAACAATTATTTGACTAAAAGATCTTATTAGCTTTTAATTTTAGTCCAACAAACCATTACTTGCTTGCATGCAGGGTAACTAAAATTCTAATCTTAATGAAAGGCGTTCTCCGCTTTAAATTTTATATTCGTATATAAATTATCTCTAATCTAGATAGCAAATAGAAATTTAATTGCAAGAAAGGAGTTAAAACGCCCAAGATTGTATTAAAATTATACAACTGAGTAATTTAGTGTTTTCTGAGTTCATTGACCCGAAAAGTAAATTATAAATATCAACAAATGATTATAGCTGACCGTTCTTGAACTTTTCTTCGATATTAAAACACGAAAGATTTGCAAATACCTACTCGTATCTATCTTTAACAATTACAGCTAAACCTTTAAATTTAGTTATATTTTTTAATTATTATAAGTTAGATTTCATCATTATCCTGTTTGTAATTGATAAAATTACCGATATTTTAATCAGAAATTTAAAGAAACGGTAGAATTATTCTGTGTTTATAACATGAACTGCCCCATACGATCTGATATTTCATAAGACGAGATTATTTGATATATTTACTCCCTAGCTCCTATTGTTGCTCTTATCATCATATTGTAGTTATTAGCTTGGTACGATAATTCATGATTATTTTGCCAAGGAACTTTAACTAGATCGTAACTTCATATCAGATTGAAACAGTGATGCTTATTAGCGGAATTAATAGCTATACAAGTCTCATTCTTATTATCACTATTGCTTATTATAATTATATATATCGAGACTTATTTTGCGTTCCATATATTGAAATCTGTATGAGCTACGTCTGAATAATTAAATAAACAATTCTTAATTCCTGACAGCTAACGTGCAATCTTTTTTCAGATTACTGATGTCAGTGTTATTATCCTCTCTAGACTTTCTCGTAATAAGTTTTTCTTTTCCCAAACTCCTTACTATTTACTGACATTGTAACCAATAGCATATGGAAAACAATTGATAAATTGTAGCTCTAACTCTTTATTTCCTAAAGCAGAAACAAATCAATCTATCAACGGTATTCATAAATTGGCTATGAGGCACTGCTATAGCTAAGTGTCTATATAAACTAATAGTAGGATTATTATTTATTAAAATGCTGTTACTTTCTGTCCTGAGAGCGATGTTATTTCCTATTCTGTTATATAATATGTGAGCCTATTGATTCTAATTAATTATGATTATAAGTATGGAAACAATTCGGTCTAATCCTTCTGTCTCTGGGCTATAAATAGTTTGATCGCATCTTTCTAGGAAATAGCACTGCGTACAGTTAATCGATTCAAAAGTATTACTATGGATTATTTTTGCTTCAAAATAATAAAACTATATTATTTGATAGACAGAAAACCTTACTAAAATAATGATAAAATTATCAATAGCTTAAGTAGGTGGATTTTTCTACTTTTATTTGCAAGACTAATGCGTTAATGACAGAAATACAACGATAATGATGACAGAGACCCCGCCTGTTATCATAGTTAGTAGCTTTGATGAATAAAACGTGAGTTTGATATAGCTATAGGCATAGATTAACAGCAATCAAAGCCGAGACTTATATTTTTGTCTAGTTACAAGAAAACCGTTACTATGCCGATAATATAATCATAACATACCGTCGGCAATTTATGTAATCAATAGCTAAGTAAATTGATAAGCAATACTAAATGATTTAATTTTTTAACAAATCAAGTAGTGATTTTTTGTTATCCTAATTTTATTAAATCTACGTCAGTATTTACGATATGAGCTACAATTAATGCCTTAACGTGATTAGAACTATAATTAGATAGTATTCTCTATATCGCTATTCGCGTACGAAAAAACGATTGGAAAAGAATTAAATCTAGCTTTAATTTAATTAAGCAGCGAATCTTATCTAGCATGTAATAAGGAAATATTGGTGGTATCTAAATAAGCTTAAACACTATTTACTGAACGGAAATGTGCTATCAGATACGGGATCAAAAATTTAAAGTGCGATAGAACTGAAATAGCAATATGATCATTTCTTAGATAAAATAAAGAACTTATGTCTCAATTACATTAGTAACTAGTGAACTAAAAGCAATACTGTATTTATTGCCATCTTTTATTGACTGAGAGATAAATATTTTACGAAAATTATTAAGAAAATGCGTGTAGGCTTTACAACAACTGCATTAATACGATCGTAAGTTTTAACGTACATGAGCTTAGATGAAAATTTATAAGTAAGATTACGTAAATTACATTCTTTGATTTCTATAATTATTACGCTTTGTAATTAAAAACAATAGTAAAATTTTAATGCAATTATAAACTAATCAATTTATGGAAACGCAATTTTAATTTATTTATTCTAGTGTTATGACGTTAATTTATCTACAATTAAATTCATGAATCAACCCAACGCCGATAGCATGATTAGAATTTGATGCAGATGAAATGCCAAACTTTATAAGGTCAATTTCCAATCAATAGAATTGACCCTTTCACATCGATTATTTTGGGACGAAATTCATAAAATGATTTTATACCTGATATCGTAATTGAAAATTGGATTAAATATTTTTAATATTTCTAAAACAGTAGGTATTATTCTACGTCCATTCTCGATCAATATTGGTATCAAAATTTGTAATAATACCATTAGCCAACTCCATAAGATAACATTTTACTTTAGAAAATAGAGCGCATTTTAGATTTAAATCAATAACAAAAATTCTACCTTATCTAATACCGATAATCTTAATACTTAAATTATTTTAGTTGGACCTAGCCTTTTTTTCAACTCTAATAAATTAAGTTTAAATTAATTTGAACGATGCCCATACAGCTACGACATTATTGTGGATATTTAAATGCTTTCAAGTTTTTATAGCTTAATTAGAATATGTAAGATTCCAAGCTTAGATCGATGTAATAGCTACTTTTTACGACAAACATTTTTCTGATATTAGCTAGCCGACTCTGATATTCGTAACGCAGCTTACGAAAGCAATGACATCCTTACCAGATATTTTAGAAATTGGAATACGTTTTGATATGCAAGGTAACGAAACTTTATTACTCTAATTTCCAATAAATGCCAAGTATTTGATGGTGCACGTGATATTGCTATTTAATGCCTACGCATGAATGTAATCTTGCTTAGTGACGTGCATAAAATATTCTAAGCACATCATAAAAGGCAAGATTACCATCTAGTATATTGAAATTTAGACAGAAATAACAATTTTTCACAAGTTATTCAACGAACATCACAGCTAGGAGCAATCAGAAAGTTAATATCATAAATAATGATTGAACAATCAAGTAGAAATTGGAATATATATGGATACAGAGCAACAAACCTATGTTTAGATGTTAACAATTATTGTAATAGGACCATTTCATTAGCACTAATCGATCAAAATAATTAACATAACATATCATTCATTGATAATGCAAATTCTTAGAAATATGAGTATTATATTCATTCATATACTATAAATAAATTCTTGACAAGGTAGTCCTCGTAAAGCTTCTTGTATTGGCCCGGCGACAAAATCGTTGATAAAGATGGGTTAGAGCACGCATATAACACGAGATTAACCATGATCAAAACACGACTTGATCTTTAAACTCTCTTATGGATTAGATATCTAACTAATTTATTTGCCCTTACCCGAAAATGAATTAGTTTTATATTTACTAAGAATCTACATACTGTATGTAATAATACTCGTTACAGTACAAGTATCGTGACAAAGAGAAATTTATTCTCAGTTTATCAGGCCTGAATGGTAGTCATGCTATTCAGAGCTAGAGTTGGTAATTATGGATCAAATTATCTTATATTGCATTGACGAGTAAATAATTGATGTAGTGCTAGTAATCTTTTCATTCGAACTATGCTTTTTAAAAT